CAACATCTGATTTCTTTGAGGGCAGAGGCAAACCAGTTTTCCATAAATGAATGTGTTCAGGTCAGTCACATGTGAGAGGGGGGAGCTACTTCCAGACTTGTGTGTTTGGGTGGTGCGGGGGGGTTCATGCATCTTGTAGTCCATGTACAAGGTATAATAAGCCCTCATATGCTTATGTGAGCTTATATAAACTTATATGAGCCCTCATTATAAGATATTAAGCTATAAAATTATAAGATATTAAGCTTTTTTGTATCAAACAGGATTTCATAGGTTTCATCTGTACAGCCTGATACCTTATCAGGAGTCTAGAAGTACTCTATTTGTACAAGGCTAATTCAAAAGGAGGCTAAATCTGAACTTTACGCTACCCATTCCATTTCATTAACAGGAGCATGGAAGAGTGATCCTTCAGCATCAGGACCATCTTAATTGTTCCTTTATGCAAAGCCCTGCGTAAGAGCACGGAAGCATCACATATGTGTTGACTCCAGCTAGTTGTGCTGCATGTCCTTCCACATCTCAGCTTCAACTGTATTAACTACAGGCTGTTATGCCCTAGAAAAAAAGGAATCCCCACAGAAACGGTATAAAAAAATAAATCAAACCAAAACTCATCCAACTCCTCAAACCAAAACAAAAAAATTAATGGGTCAGGAAGCTAAGACTGAAAAAGAGAAGCAAGGCTCAACCTCTGTTACTTTTCCTCCCTGAAAATCTGCCTGTTCAAAAATGAACTTCCAAAAAAGCAGATGCCCTCTTAGCACCATGACCTCAGTGCAACATCTTTTACATCAACGTCAATGCAAATTATACATTCATAAACCAAACTTGTCTGCGAAACTTATATGATAGATACTCAGCGAGATTTACTTCTTGGCTGAGTAACTACTCAATGCTAAAATGAGGAAATTATTTGTTAAGACACGTGTTCATAAACAAATTCTGCATTACTATCTCTATGCCAGTGCAAGGCATTTTCCTCTGCAAAACCCTGAGGAAATCTGACATAATTACACTACGGTGTAAAATCTACATACCATTTAAACATAAGAGCATGCACAGACTTACCCTCTAATACTGTGAGCTATTCCCATCGCAAGACTTCTCAGCAAAAGAATCAATCTCTGTTAGTGCCCAAGAGCATGGGTGCCACTCTGCTCAGCTGAACCTGACAAGACACTGCCCTAGACTGAGCAATTTGTATATAAGGCAACTGGAGATGTCATCTCCCCCGTTACGTGCTAAGGTGAGCGCTGCTGTGACCAAGCAGAGCAGCCCCACAGTCACTGATTAACTCGGCTGTGCTGCGCGGGTCACAGGGTGACGCAGCCAGGACACCCTCAGCACCTGGAAAGCCACGCAGGAGGAGAGACCACCTACAACAGCCGCACAGGGCAAATGAGACTGAAGACTTAGTGACAGCCTTTATAGAGAATACCAGCCCAAGTCTTCTCTCTGTATTAATAACATTTCCACAGGCTTTCATTTTTTTTTTTTAAAAAAAGGAAGAAAATATTTAATATTAAAAAGGTTTTTGTCCCCAGTGCTGTTTTCCTGCAGCCTGCCAAGGCCAGGAAAGCAGCAGCAGTCTGCAGATGGAAGAGCAGCCTGCCAGGAGCAGTGGGCTACATAGCTCAGGCTAAAAACAGCACCATTTAGAAGCTGTTTTAACAGCAAACACTAAAAGGGCCATGGGAAAATGTAATTAAATGCAAATCAGAGGGAGATTTAACTTCCACAGTGATTACAGACATGTACACCAATTTCTTCACAATCTCAATCCACGTTTGGTTTTTTTATTGTTGCTGGTTTTGTTGGTTTTGTTTTTGAAACACTAAGATGCTGCACTAGCTACTGTGACTGCACTGAGCAGACAGTGTCTTATTTATGTTGCTTTATGGGCAATGAGATGAGAGTGGTTTTCTTGACATTTTCATTCACAAATATAAACTGGATTCCTAATGTTTGTAAACTTAGTAAATTATTTTGATACAGTGTATCGAAAACACATTGCAAAACTATCCCAAATGACCTACAGTCTATAGCACACTCAAGATACAACACTGGTAGTTACATGCTATGCAATACTCGTGTAAGGGTATCATCTGTGTGTAGGAAGCGGTGCATTTTGCTTTGGGAAGGCATCCAAGAGCTTGGAGAAAACACTGATTTTTTAGGCAAAGATAACTTGCATTAATATGAAGGCGTGTGTCTCTTTTTTAATTTTAGTCCCAAGTTCTACATGATCTCCTATACACCTCTGTGTTGTTAAAACTGGCATGCATGGACAGCACCAAAATGACACAGTCTTATACTACATCCATCACTAATTTTGATCAAGATCTGACCAGCAGACCTCACAGCAAAATTCTGACCTGTCAGCTAGCATGGCCAAGTGCTGCTGCAACAGCTCACTGCAGAGATTACTTTTTCCTCATTCTGAAAACTGAAGTATAAACCAGCGATCAGCACTTCGGTTTATAGATGGGTTAGGTCCCCTCATAATTCCAATAACTTTTCATAAAAAGACAAGTAGAAAAGCTCTTTTCTAAGTCTGTGACAAGAAGCTCAATAGATATGCCTGTTGCACAGAGCAACAGTCAGAGATGACCTCAGTTCCGCTCTTAAGTTTTACTCAATATCAGATACACTGCCCCCAAAGCAGTAACTGACCTTGTGTTGTATTACAGCATTGCTCCAACTCCTTGAGGTATTTACTCACACTTCAACCTAGAATTTTCTGAACCCACCCTTTTGCAATCCCTGAGGAGCCAAGGACTGGGTTCAGAAGATAGCAAACAAACCAAAAGCTATCTTCAGCTGCACTCCCGATGGGCACATTCCAGCTGGATTAAACCTCTCCCCCTCCTGCCCTGGGTCAGCAGCTTCCACACTACCAGTCTGTTCAAAACACTTCTAAAACACAAGAAATGAACACCTAAATCAACACACATTAAAAATTTGAAAATAAAATTAAATATTCTGAAAAAAATATTTTTTTTAAAAAAAAGACTGCATCTTAAAGAAACACCTCTGAGATTGATCACCAGTTCATTCTTCCTTCCTGATATCTAATTCACCTTGTGGTGATGACTGATTTCCCTGGTTTTTTTCATCAACAGACCAGAGGGATGCTCTAGCTACCTTCTAGCAAGAGAACGACCAGGGATTTGATTTCTCACATCCAGTGAAAACTCTTGGGTGATTTATGTGGAAAATCAGAGGACATCACTTTTTTTTTGTCTGTAGTACTATTCACGCATACATATGCACCTACAAGTACATAAAACATTTAAATGGTTTTATTGCACAGGAAAGGACATCTTTTGTTACAGGTCTGAAGGCAGAAACAGCCACAGCTGTGCAGTTAGGAGTATCTTCCTTTTCCACATCATGCCCTTCGCTCACATGAAATACCTATTTTTTTTTAGCATCAGCACCTTAGTGCATTCCTTGCCTCTCTTGCCACTGCTCACCTTCTTTTCTCCTTTTCCTCACTTCCTAGACTGCAGGCAAAACCCAGATCAACCCCCAGTGCTTTTATCACACATCAGCTGCCTGTATATCCCTCCTTTCTTCTTCTAATTGGCATCTGACCCCTTCTTCCTTCCCATTGGGAACAATACTGGACCAGCAACAAACATTGTTTTATCTCTCTGGCATGTAATGAAACAAGGGCACCTCTCTCCCCATTTCAGTATCCTTGCTGCATTTCACACCTTGGACCATGTACGGAAAGACAGAGCCAACCCTAGAAAGCACTACACCTTTAAGAAAGTTAAGAGCAAACATGTTTTTCTGCCATGCTCTGCAGCTTACCTTTCCCGAGGAACAGCAAACCAGTACTCTGGCTGCTTTATCTTTTTACTGTACTGCTGAGACATGGTGGTGCTCTGAGATGCAAAGGACTTTCTCATGGGCTTGCCTACTTTAATGCACAGAAACATTGGAGGAGTCTTGCTCTTCTCCTCTTTTGAAGGAAGCATATCTGAATGAGAGACAAAAGAAACGGGTTGCTTACAGGAAAGTACCAATACTGCAGCTGATAAAACATTATCACAAAGATTAATAACCTTGCGCAAAGGAATACTTGGAGTTAAACCTGACATGTCATTCAATGGCAAAACTTGTTTAATAAATCCCTGTTAATCCTAAACTGTAGCCAGTTATTCTCGTTTTATCACAGCCTGTATCCCCACTCAGCTGCACAGCTACGTACAGAATAACCCTGTAAAGAAAATCAGCAAGGTGAACAGGCTGGGTGCAAACTGTAACACAAAGCAGGCAAGTCAAGGGGACAGTGTTTGACTGGGTCCAGCAAACCCATCCAGTCGCAGGGTAACCCTGCATGCACACACACACAAAGCCTGGTTAGCTCCTCAGCTCTGAAGATCAGCCAGCCACACAAACACCTTTCATCTGCACAGGACAGGCTCAAACATAAAAGTAGTTAAAAGAACTTAAACAACAAAGAACAAAGAAATTGCTTATTAAACTACAACCTCAATCACACTGAAGTTGCCTCATTCATTTTAGTAGTACACATACAGCCGTATTTTTTTTTTCCTCTCCGAATAAAAATGATCACCAAATACAACTAGCGAGATAGAAACCCTTCCAAAAGAAAGGAAAAATTCATTTTAAGAACAACTGTTTTTAAAATTAACTGACTTGCACTAGAGTCCCCCCCACCTGATACGAATCCAGGGTACGTCCACTGCTTCATTAAACTACCAAGAGAGGTGCATCAGCACTCCAGGACAGACTAATGCTTAGAGGCACTGGGCTGTAGTAGAAACAGTAATATGCGTAAATGCTATCTAAACTGAGATTTCATTTTGTTATATGCTTTCCCATAACAGCCTGAATTTTATCTATACTAACCCAATGACCAATCAGGACAAGATGACCAGTCTGCAAGACTCTACGTATATTCCTATTTATCACTTCTTTAAGGGCTGAAAGACACCAGACATGCAAATAGCGCCAAGAACACTTTGGTACCCCCGTTTACAGCAATGCACTACTACTTTGGATACTATCAGAAATACACTGACAGACTTCACTGAAGCAACACAAGCTACCAATAGAGTGACAATTCCTAGGCCAAGAAGTGTCCCTTGTCAATACTGCAACTGGATGACATTTCACTGTCCTTCTTAAAGTCAGCAAACGGAGGTGAAGATTACATAAACAGTGTTCACTGAGTATGGAAAAAGCACACAAGCTACTTATTGAACTAGAAGCTTAAGGACTTCAAAGGTATTTTTTCTTCTAGATAGCAGATAATATAAAAATATAATATACAAAAGTAAAACCAAAAATGACAGGTATTATAGAAAGAGGAAATTTAGAGCAGAAGGCTATCAATTCAAAGGTTACCGTCATAATGCTGTCCAAGTCTCAGAGGAAACAAGGATAACCAGAGACCTACCTTCAATTGGCACTTGAATTTTCTGCAGCAGCCAGAGTCTGATTTCTGATTGATTGTCTAACTGTGTTTCTTGACAGGTCTTGTCTATAGCTGGTACTAACGAAGAGTCCTCAGACTCTTTCAGATCCTTTTCCTTTGCTGCTGCTGAGCTGATTTCTAATGAAGGTGCTTTCCTTTCAACACAGCAGGAATCAAGCTCCATACTTTTAACTGTATGGACTTCATTAGCTTGGGACTTTGAACAGCTAAGTGTAAGGTCTATGCCAATTGCTTTATTGTTTTCACCTTTCTGGATTTCAGCCTTGTGTAAGTCTTCAGATGACTGAGACCCATTCCCATCTTTACTGAGGTAAAATTCAATAAGTTTATCTTTCTCTAGCTCTTTCTTAGTGTCCAATGCAGTCTCCACCTTACCTGTCGGGGAACTGACACATTTGTTTACTTCTGGAATAACATCTTGCTTTTCACACAGCTCTAAGTCTAAGTCAGCTTTAGGTTCAACACTGTCCTTTTTTTCCAAGGAATCAACTGTCAAGTGCTCCTGGACTTCTGTAGTGGGTTTGGTTACCTGCTGCTTAGTTCTCCCCAACTTCCTGGGGTCAGCCAGCAAGCCTTCCATTACTGAGATATTCCTGTCCAACCCTCTATCCATACAAGATGATGTTTTTTCCAGCTCAACAAAGTCATCCTCTCCTTCTCCCAAAAGGGATTTTTCTTTGGTTTTGATGTCTGAAGCATTTTTTTCCCCAGAAGGCTCCTTGGCACATGGATCTGCAGCAAACTTTTCCAAATGTTCAGTGGCAGTGATGTTGTTGGGAAACTCCAGTGACTTTGACTTGATTGAGCCCATACTCTCAGATGACTGAAGAACTTCAAAATCAGCAGACTTTTCCTCATCTGAAGGCTTTATCTGTTTGGCACCCAGAGCAATGGATGGATCCCCATTCTGCTGCCTCTTTTCCTTGCTGAGGGATTTGAACTTGCTGAAAGGATTGATATCTTTCTCAGAGGATAGGTCTTCCCATTCTCCTGGCCTGTACAGAGGACAAAGATCCTTTGGTATGTCACTGTCAGGGAAAATGATGGATGTACATAAGATGTTAAAAGCAAAATGGAAACAGGAAAAAAAAAACAACAGAAAAGAAAAAATAAATAATGTACCAACTTAACTTCGGCTCTAAAAATCAATGGAAAAATTACCGTCTCCAAAGTAAATATACAGCAGTGGAAATAAGTGAATTTAAAGAAAATGGAGGAAGAAACCAAACAAACAAAAAACCAAAAAAGCCAACACAAAATGAGTAAATCACTTGGCAGACTATGCCACACAGGTGAAGAAATGGTACACATGTAATAACAATGTGCAAGTCATCAGAAGTTCAGTAACCAAAAAACCACAAGACAGGTATTTAGCTGCTGGAATGTCATTCATACCATATTAATATTGTTATTTCCCACACCTGACAATTAGTCAAACCTTTTCAACTACCCATGCTTCCCTATTCAGTACAAATGCATTTTTGAGAAGAAAGGAAACTGCAGATAAGCCATATCCTGTTTGAACATGTTTACTGCAAAACAGTAACAGGCAACAGAGTTGGGGTTTTTTGGGGGTTTGGTTTTTTTCATTTTTCCTCATTACTCAAATGTAATGTTTGAAAGCAGACTTCCCCAAAGATTTGATTTTAAAGCAGTATAATCATAGAACGTTCCAAAATAGAAAAATTCTTAAAATTTCTTAAAAATTTAACAGCATGCAACTTGAACTCTTCATTACTGCTAAAAAGTCTGGAGTGAGTAAGATGCAAGATTCTCACCACTCAGAAGTTACTAAAACGTTACTAGACACTCTAGTAATGAGTGTAACACAAATATCTTGAAAGTTTTTCTTGAAATAAGAAAACAGAGGGAAGGAGATTAATTTCACTGATTGAACAGGTGTTGCTTATAATGACAAAAGCTTCCTTAGAACAAATACATAAGCAGTGTCTAGAGTATACATAAATGGAAGTTGCCTACCCCAGAAAGTCTACTATGTATTATAAATGTGAACTATCAACGCATTTCTGCTTCTGCAGTGGAAGTATTTCTTAAACTGGTAAGTACTGAAGATGGCAGTTAAGATGCTGTTATCTTCAAAAGTTTTAAATACTCCTCTCAGAACAGTCCTGGCAACACAACAAATGGTCCAAATCTAACTCTCTTCATTTCCACTGAAAAATACCCAGAGACATGTCAGCGCAAGAACCCAACCATGGCATGCAACCAATGCTTTGAATTACTGAATTTTTACTGGTCTTCTTTGCACACTTTGGTTCTCACAGTCATGACCCATTTCTCTTTACTGCTGCTGAAGTGTTCCAGAAAGAAAGCAGAAGAACAATACAAGTGAATCCTTCCTTTGCAGACACCTTCCTTCCCTGATTTGTTTCATTCTACTGCATCAAAACTCTTCCCCTCCATCCCCCTCCACCTCTCCTCTTCCATGACCCTTACTGAATATCTGTAAATATAAGTTCAGGGAAGGACAACTCCTTACGATGGCAACGCGTCTTTAATCTTCATGTGAGAGATGTCATTGTAGAGAGCTATTGAGACAACCTCCTCCATGGGGCAGATGAGCCCATACTCTTCACAGCCATTCTCAATTACCAGAGGATCAGACTTATGTGGGTCAAACATGATATTGTTTGGAGTTACTATCATGACTCCTCCAACTACGCCCTAAAATAGAGAAGGAAGAGTTAGCATGTCACATATATAATTCACTTGTCATTTGGTATTGGATTTCAGGCTACTATCTGAAAAAGAAAAACCTCTCTTCTGTCTCTCTATACCCCGTCACGTAATGTTTGCTAACAAATAACAGCAAAGCTTGGTTTCCAATTGCCTCAAGTCAGACATTGTCAGGAGAGTAAAGAAAAAGATTACTTAGTGGCACCCAAGTTCCTGACCGATAAGGAAGGATATCTGAACTATTCAGCTCTCAGTGCTGGCTAAAACTGTTGATTTTTAATCAAATCTCAGGCAAAATAGGTTAGTGGATTTTAAAAAAAAGTACCATTTTATTCTAGACACAGGAATCTTCATACGATACATGAATTTATATGCAACCAGCACAGCTGAAGGCAGTCTTACTCATGGAAATGTCAAGGTTACTATACTAAGCTACATTACAATTCCACTTTACCTACTCTCCCAGAGGTACATGCAAAAAGCTTCTATATATAGGAGACTGTCATGAAACAGCTTCTTCCTGATCTAGACGCAGCTTCTGCCACTGATCTAAGCACATTTTGCACAGCTTTAGAAGACATTAACTCTTCAAAACATGCTCTAGTCATAGATTTGGTAAGAGGCTGCGTCAGCACTTATGCAGCATCCAATCCATGGCCACTGACCAATTTTTAAGGTTTAAAAAGATTTCCAACGTCTTGCTCTTGCACTCTTTTTTCCAGATGAGCTACAAAATTCATCAGACTTACTCAGGACCTGTGTGTAAATCCCGACATGCCAAATAGGAGCCACAGATCAACAGGAATAACCTACATTGTAGGTGCTATTAATTATCTAAGGTAATCTACAAGGCATGCCAAGGAAGGTCAACAAATAGGCAGATAAAGCTTGGTTTGTTGGTTTTTTTGTTAAATCAGGGAGATGCCAAGCTGACAGCTGGGTGAGTACAAGTGTGCCTGCTCCTTTGGAAATCAAAGTCTGCGTGTATTTCCCATTTGCTTCTCCTGCACCACTCACGTACATGTGCCTAGTTTGTGTTTGGATGAGTGAATCAAAATCAAGCGCAGAGGCTTCTCCCACAAGTACATAACATACTTAGCCAGAAGAGCAATACGTCAGTAGGCTGTGCTTCCTACCCAGCCACTGCAGGAAGCAAGGCAACCAGGGACTTTAGCTACACTGGCAAAGCTGTCCCACTTTTGAGCGTTGACTGAAAAATTACTGTTTCAATCCTGCAGCCATAAAATTGGGAATCAGTATCCTCTGCATGTAGCAACCACCACACAAAGCAACAGTGAGACATCAAGCAGACCTGTACTTCTTTCTACAAAACTGCAGACTGAAAAATTGCAGTGGTTAAATACAGTCTACATCCACTCGATGCAAAAAGAAGCCAAAAAACTGTAGGTGTAAACACATCCATCTTACAAAAGTCAGGACTAAGGGAAAAACAGGTTTAAACTACAGTGGTTAGCATCGCCAGTGTTATAAATTCCAGAGAACTTGAAAACCCAAACATGCTGACATCTAACTGAAACCAGAGTCAGCAAGAACAGATACATCAAAGTAGACAGTTCAAGAAGAGTGCCTTGCAACCTTGAGGAAAAAAGGGGGTTAAAATACTGCCCAAGCTTTGTGCCTTCACTTCTAAAACAGCTGCTGTAAAATTTAGGGTTGCAGTCTCAGTGGGAACACACATGTTACAAGAATGCTTGCAAGAAAAAGAAAGAAAAGGTTGTATCATGCAATATTTATCTTTTTATTAGGGTTTGCATGACATTCATTAGCAAGTGCAGAAGCAACGTGGACGTACTTGGAAACACTGTTCTGGATACAGTTAAAATTTAGCTTAAAGTCATAAATGAAATAGATAGGCATGTACTCCTTTTGTAAAGCTGTTGCACAATTTGATGGAACTGGACAACTCATCCTGACACGTTGTAACCCCTAAGTGCAGTTTTCTGTCTGTATCTAGCAATACACTCTTAAGCAGTTAATTCTGGTAAGACGCAGTAAGGGAATGAAGGTGGGCAGAGAGCTATTGCATAAGGCAACTGTCATAACAGATGAAACAACTGAAAGAACAAAATGATACAGCATATTACCACAATACCAGCCATAACATTTACATTCTTTACAAACATGGAGCTCTTCTGTCTCCCCCAGTATTCACCTCTTGCTTACACAAACAGATCTTGCTTTTAAAGAATCTCAAATAATGCCCAAAAGCCAGGTTCCACCTACCTTACCATCTGTGAAGTAACGACAATTCATTTTTAAAAATTTGACAACTACAGGCTCATCCTCTTCTGAAGTAGAGGACAGGACTCTCTCAACTGGTTTGAAGGCCTTTCTTGCCAAATCAGCATCCTTCAAAAAGAAAAATTTCAGTGCAGAGCAACAGGACCAGAATGATATACTTTTAGAGTTTGGGTAGCTAAAAGGTCCAGTTCAAATATTTTCCTTTTGCTTAAAGAAGAAAAGTGGTGAACATATATATATGTATGTATGTATGTATGTATGTATACTTCTCACAGTATCCTGCATGGAAGAAAAACCATCACAACATTACAAAAAACCTCCACACAAATAACAAGCAAGAAATCAAAAAATGCCAGGGCAAGTGAGCTCACCAAATTTCGATGAGGTATTCTCATTAAGAGAGGGCCAGTCCTGTCACTTCATCTACCCTGAAGCCCTCTGCACACACTGCACTGGTGTGATTTCCCATGCAGGTGGCACAGAGGTGTAAGACTAAGGTTAAACACAGTTATTCACTCCAGGTTTCTCTCCACTTTCCTTTTCATTAGTTATGGATTTGAAATGTCTAATAGCTTTAACATCAGCAGGTGGATAGCTAAACTCCATAAAACTACTATCTAAAATCATGATGTCCAATCACCCTTCTAAGGAAAATCAAAGATCGGCTATGCCAAGGCCTTTCAGGAATATTAAATCTAGCAGTCTTCTCTATATATGGCAAGTCTATATATGAGTACCACCATAACATGACTAACTAGAAAGAAACTGGCTGCTCAGACTGAACTAACAGCCTCCGTGCTGAAAGATCCCTATGCAGTGTTGAGGCTCTGGACTGCAGAGCACTATAGAAATCTCTAGGGTGAAACAATAAATAACTCTTCATATTTAACTTTCTTTTCTTTAAAAACGATACACTACACCGTTTTCAATTGCTTTGATAGACTCTGGGCCCAACTGAACTTGTACTGGGTTTCTGCTCTCAGACAGAATTCCCTTAATTTGCAATATTTTAAAGAAATGGTTAATTTTTTAGTACAGCAAATTAATGTTACTCAATACACTACACAAGGTATAAACTGTAACCTCAAAAACTGCTGTTTACACAGCCTTGAATCTCAGCTTCAGAATTAGAAATTATTTTGTGAGTTTAAAATGACTGAACCAATGTTTGACTTACAGGGAGTTTATCGTATTCAGCATCTGATGATGAAGGAGAAACAGGAGCACCAGGACTGAAAGAAGACAGTCTCGCAGCACTTGTTTCTGGCACAAAGAGAATCTAAATACAAACATGTATGTCAGAACAGTAAGACACAAGCTTTAAAAAGTTATTCACTGTAAATATTATGTACTACTAGAAAGACAACCCAGAACTGACCACTCATAATTGCAACGCACTCCTTAACAACTACTTATTCTAGAGTCCTTCATCATAGGTGATGATGGTGGGGCAGGTGCAGGTCTAACTAACTACAGGCTCTAGCTCTACATTTTTTGTTTTGTAGCACAGGCAAGAAAATAAAATATTCTCCATGGAATAAGAACTTCCTTTTTTCCCCCTAAATTTACATTCCCAGGTTGTCTCGCAACTGTGAAACAAGTAACTATAAAATCACTTAATATTCATTAATCTGTACCAGTAAACTCTAGTCCAAAGGGAAGGCCATTGCTGCAGATTTTTAGTGCTAGAAGTTTATAACACTTCGCTATAGGTTGTCTGTTTCCAAAAACAGACTTGCATCTCAAAATTTAAGAAAATATTATTGATATCAACCAGCATTTTAGCATCACATACATTTAAAAGACAAAAAACCTTACATTAATAGGAGTGTATATAAAAATAAAATGCTTGTTTTAAATTTTCACATTCTCTTGCAGTGACCATCCCAGATTTTTAGTACAGCAGTACTGAAATCACAGTACAGGTTTGGACCTCCACTGCAAATAAAAACAGTCATTTGTTGCAAGTGTCAGTGCAAAGTACTTTTCAAGCTAAAAATATGTTCACAGTTTAGTTTTAAACTAGAAATGTCCAGAAAAATAAACCATTTTTCTTATCCCAGGTTTTGTCTGTTAGGTATTCTTAGACAAGTCGTGCCCTCAGTTTCCCTATCTGCAAATCAGGATACTTCAATCTATTCGTGTCTGTGAAGCAGAAGTAGAGATCTGCTCTTCATGCACCAGGTGTTAATCCTTCACATTTGCATTTCCATTACGTGACTCTCCCAAAAACATTCTATGCCCATTTATTTCTTGCCTTACAGGAGACTGACTCATGCCCAACAATGGCAGAAAGCCATTTCAGTTACTGTATCTAACTCTAATTCTTTAATGCATTATATACAGCATTTATCTAGGCTTCTCATAAATTCGACTCTCTTGCAACAGCTAGATTACCATTTTGAGCTTCAGCGTCATCCTTAAGCTTTAGTGACAGCAAATAAATAAGTCAGATATAGCAATTGCAAAGCTCAACCCTCAACTCCAGGTAAAGATCTAGCGAGCTCCCCTTTGAGGGATTTAAGTTACTGTCCATTATCCTTTTATCCAAGTACCTAAAATATATGTGAAAAGAGTAAAATGCTTTTAAATATATAGCAAATAATCAGGTCTCAGGTATTGAAAAAAACATAAAATATTTACCTGTCCTGGCACAATTGTCTGCGTGAAAAGCTTATTGAGCTCCACCAGCTTGTTTGGGGTGATGTTAAACTTTAATGCTATGCTGTTTATGGTGTCCTGATTTCCAGCCTGAAGAAAGAGTTGAAGTTTAAGATACCACAGTGAACACATGCAGCACAGCAGCTGAACTAGAACCACCTGATAGAACGTTTGAAGGGAAGAGATTTGATGATCTCAACACACTCTCTTTTTAACAGCTTACGTGATAAGCCGGTATCAATAAAAAAGAAAAAATATTCTCTCACACTATACAGTAGATAAAATGTAGAGGCATTACAGATGTCCTTCTTTTCTCATAAAACTTTGAAGCAGCACCACCTTATTTAGAACTGGTCCAGCACATGGGGAAAGGACACACACTGGGAAATTCATTACGTCTTCAGCAGTCGCAGCACATCGGGCATTTGTGCTGTTCCCAGCTGGGACACTGGCCTCTCACAGCACCATGGAGTAGGGTACAGCCCCCATTCAGGGTCCTGGTCAGCTCACACAGACGTTCTGGGCAGAGCCAGTCCTCTGAGCCACCATGGCAGCACACTGTTGCCCTGCTCCGGCTTGGAGAACAGTCTCACATCATCTCAGGCCTAAGCACAGGCCAAGCACTTGATGAGCTAAAGCAACACTGTGGAATGGAAGTCTTCTTCAGAATAACAAAACTGACTGCTGAACTAAAGAGCTATGGTGCAGGAATAAAAATAGGATTGGCAGCTGCGAGAAGAGGCAGACGACCTGGGTTGAAGAGTGGTTCGGGACATGGGCCTAGCTTTCCCCACACAGTGACAACTGGAGCATTCCCTATTGACACAGGTACAAACTGCAGCCAGTGTTCACTTAGTGCTTTCAGTTTTGTGCCACTGGCTCCCTCTTGACCTCAACAACCCCACTTTCACAAAGCAGACATGAACAAGGCACGCACCGATACTTACAGTATATTCTATGGTACCATGGGGTTTCTGAGAAACCATTTTCTTCTCTTTCTTTTCATTGGTTTTGTTTTGATTGTCATCTAAAGAGAACAAAAACAACAATAACCACTCAAGTAATTGACATTAAAGATGTTTGCCTATCAACACGTTTGAAAGATCTACAGGATGGACAAATTCCAGCTGTGAATAGGAACGAGAGGACACATTAAAAATACCTATTAGGCCTTAAAATTGCATTGCAAGGCAAGCAAAACTTCATCAAGTACACCAGGTTTAGTAATCAGTCATGAACTCTGCAATAGTAATGTATACATGATATCACATCAATACAGAACCACTCCCATGTTTTCCTCTGTGATTCCTACACAATTCAGCTGTTGGACACGAGTACTTCATGTGATGAGCTCCTATCAAGGCTGAGGTAGAAACCAGCAGATGGACGTACGCGCTGATACTGCATCGGTAGGACCACAGCAAATACTGATTAATTATCACTTTACCACCAGTACATCATATTTAAACACTGTCACAAACTCTGAAGGTACAAGTATGCCAAGAGTCCTGCAAAACAAGCATGCATACAGAAAAGTCTTGTTCAGAAGACATTTTCCATCAGCTGCAGTATGCAAAACTCACTGCACGCGCAGAAACCCTTGCAGGACCCAAAAGGCACAGGTAAGCTCTCAGCAGGGCAAGCTGGGTGGCTATTTCTAGTTCTCACCACAGCAGAGGGTGAGTGAAGCAGGGGATCAAGAAGGATCCCACGCAGGGCCATGGGGTTCACCCTCCACCCCCAGACCCATGTACCTGGGGGGGGTGGGGGGTGAGGGCAGCGGACAGCCCCAGCTTCAGAAGCAGGGCCGAGGATCAGAGAGGCCTCGCATGGCTGCCCTGCTCACCCAGCCTGCTCACCCCTGGCCCCTCGCAAAGGTCCTGCTGCCTCTGGCAGGGTGCTGGAGCCCATTTGGGATGGGCAGAGGCAGGAAGGCAGGGCAGGGCTGGGCTCAGCAAAGCCAGCAGCTGGGGCCAGGAGCAGGGAGACGCTGCCGTCCTGGGGGGGACCCTTCCTGCGGTCCAAGCTGGCAGCTTCGGAAGGAGGTCAGGGAGGGAAGGATGGGGAATGGCAGTGCAGGGCTTCTGGCTCGCATTCAGGCTCTGCTGCAACCTTTGCTATTCACAGAGCAAGAGGCAGATAGTAAAAAGAAAGGCAAGGACTCGCCTGCCCCACTGTAAGGTACAAAAGGAGAAAGGAGGAGCTCAGAGGCATGCAGCATCTGACCCTTCTGACAGCCCAGTTCCACAGCCAGATTAACACCAGGGGCTGCCTCAGTGTATTCCAGAGGCAACACGGTCAGATACCCAAAGCACACGCAGGCATGAGGGAGTCCTCAGTAATCACATTTCTTTCAGACAGAACTAGATGGAAGAGATGCATCTCTCCACAGGCTTTAAAATAAATTCCACTGGCTCCTTCTTGAACTTGGACATTTGCTTAGTGGTGAAGTGACTCACGGTTCTGCCTCTCAAGTTCTCCTGCGCTGCACGAACACTGAAGATGGGATTGTACAACTATGAGAACTGCCTAGGTGTTAATGCAAATTTGATCACACTGCATTTTTGGGAAAAGGGTGAAGTGGGTGGACTGAGCCTCTCTGTTATTTCAGGAAACATGTAAAAGAATTATGTAAAAACAGTAAAACTAATGAGCAATGAGAAGAAGAATGCCAAGTGAACATAAGCAAGAAAATACAGGCTTGTCAAAAGCAGGTAAGTCTAGAATGGATATTTTTCTGCCCTTACTGATATATTTACACCTAAAACTCAGTTTCCTAGCAGACTCTTCATATTTCATTTTGCAATGCTATTGGAAATCTTACAAAAAAGAGTTACCTAGGAATAATTTGGAAAGCAGCTATTGTAAGAGCGTGACAAAGAGGTCAACCAGTTTATCATGCAGAAGACCTTGACACATGATAAGAGAATTACACCTCCGCAACCATGTAAATAGCTGTATAAGTGGATTGAACAGGTCAAGAAGCATCAGCAGAATCCCAGGCTGCTCACACTATCATACAATGTGCCACTACAAGACGATACCATCAACTCCAACGTTACAGACTAAGCCACTGTCAGCTGAAATCAGGGCACGGCTTCGCAGTGCTGGCAGTGACAGCTGGACCTGCCCAGCAGCTCCTGAGCCATCATTTGGGCTGATGTCTGGTATTGCTTGCAGGC